CATTAATAATTATTTCTAAAAAAATAATAATAATTTGGGTTAGTAGCTCTCATGTTACCAACAGAATATAAGGATAAGTTTGTGTGTTTAACCTTTCTAGGTTAAATGGCTACAAGTCATGCTTAATAGTGCATCCCTCAATTTTCGAATTGGGTTTGAATCTTCCCTCCCAAAAAATTGAACTTGTTAAAAAAAAAAACAATTTAAAGAACTGAGCTTTGGACTTTATCTGCAACTTGAAATACTTAATATAAAGCAGGATTTTTTAAAGCACTGGTAAAGACAATCAGATCTAAGTATTAACAGCCCAGCGACTAAATTTGTTCCATCTTCTCTTGATCTCTGTCCTTCTGCTTTAATAAATCTCTTGCACTTGCACCTAGCTTGTACTATGAAATAATTAAAAAGATTTATTTCTTCCCTTTCAAAATAATTTTTGTTTTAAATTAATTGTCATTTTTTTTACTTTTTTAGGTATATAAATATTATTTATTTATTTAAATCTTATTGTTATTCATTTATTTTAATTAATTATATATTTGTCCTTTTTAGGTGGTTTATATGGGACTGGGGAATTGAATTATCATAATTTAATATAATTCAAGCATTTATTAGCATTTGGTTTATTTTATCAAAATAAGGATAATATTTGCCGACAATTTAAGTAGTTACAAGTTAAGTAAAGAACTGAGCTTTGGATTTTTTCTGCAACTTGAAATACTTAATATAGGGCAGAATTTTTTTAAGCACTCCTCAAGACAATCAGATCTAAGTACGTATTAACAGCCCAGCGACTTAATTTGTCCTATCTTCTCTTGATCTCTGTCCTCTGTTTTAATAAATCTCTTGCACTTGCACCTAGGACTATAAAATAATTAAAAAGATTTATTTCTTCTCTCTCAAAATAATTTTTAGTTTGAACCAGATCTTTAGACTTAGTGGTTCATTTTCAAACCTAAGAACTTCAGTTGAATTGGTTAGAAATTCGACTCCTACCAACTTTTTAAAAAAATTTCCCCTCCCCCATAATTCCCCCATGTTCAAAAAAAATAAATAATTTTTATTTTTATTTTAAATTTATTTCAAATTAATTGTTATTTTTTTTAGGTATATAAATATTTTTTATTTATTTAAATCTTATTGTTATTCATTTATTTTAATCAATTATATATTTATCCTTTTTAGGTAATTTATATGGGACTGGGGAATTGAATTCTCATAATTTAATATAACTCGAGTATTTACTAGCATTTGGTTTATTTTTTCCTAGTGAAAATGAGAAATCCCGATTAATGGAAATCATATGGCATATAAATAAGTTAGGTTAAAGAACGAGAAATTAATATTTCTCATTATACAATTCAAAATTAGAAGAAAAAATGAAAAACATAGTTGATGCTCTCTATTACTAACAATGTGAAGAATCTATGGGATGCACAATATATTAGAGGACCCATTATGCTGAGTCTCTCCGTGCAGATCTTCTTAATTCTGTTTGCAACCTTAAGAAAGGAAGATTTGGGAGAAAATTTTTCGTCCGCTGGTCGATTTGGTTGGCGTACTTATCCGCAGACTGGGTTGCTACATAACTTACGAGATGCATGGGCACCAAATATTATCCCTCTATACATAGAAAGAGCATAAATTGTCAAAACGTAGGGCCTTCTCTTCTTAAAGCTTCTTTTTTATTGATAGAATCTCTAAATTTACCCCTTTAATAGGAAAGTAGGAATAAATTCGTTCTTAAAATAAAATAAGGACAAATTACTTGTTCAAATAATCGGTTAAAATAAATTATCTATTATTTAACATCATCATTTCTAAAAAAAATTGATTTGCCATCTAAGTATATTTCTAATAAAAAGCTAGTGTAATGATATTACACATTAAATAATTAGTAATTTATTTTAATTAATAATTTTAAAAAATAATTTTTTTTTATTTTTTTTTAAGAGTGAATTTACCCATATTCTTCTATGTAAAGGATGAATTTTGGAGTGGAAGGGTAGGATCTTGTCTAGCCCTCCCCTTTACAAGTTCCCCGCTGACTATGGTACTTACGAGATGCATGTGCACCTAATAAAAAAATTATTTTAAATGTACTAGGGTTGATTCGACAGTAGGGTTGATCCTACTGTGCTAACGCTGCATGCACCGAGAAACTCTAGAATATCACGGGGATACCACGTCAGTGGTATCCCGAACCAATAAAAAGATAACAACTCAGCACCACCGATACAGCTCACCCATGTAACGGCATAGAGCATTTAACGTGAAATTATGAAGCGTTAACACCGTTATATATCCCCGTGATATTCTAGAGTTTCTCCACCATTATCTGTTAGGTTGCGTTTTCTGCAAAAGCCACCATACAATGACCACCTTGTTTCCATTCTCCGATCACCACCATCCTCATCACCACCATCACCACCGTCTACCTTCTCCTTCTCCAACCGAGCTTTAGCTCCAACCGAGCTTTCCCTCCATACCCAAGACTCCTCCCCTCCCACGTAACCCTCGGCTTCTTTCTTCCTTCGGTTTCCCCTTTCTTTCTTCATG